TGTGGAAAAATTAAAACATGTGTATGCTGTTTGTGGGAATGTAACGTGATGTAGCCACTATGGACAACAGTACGGAGGCTCCTCAAAAAATTTAAAAAAGAACTACCATATGATCCAATAATCCCACTTCTGGGTATGTATTTAAAATAATTGAAATCAGGATCTTGAAGATATATTTGCACTTCCATGTTCATTGCACCATACTCACAATAGCCAAGTCATGAAAACATCCCAAGTGTCCATCAACAGATGAGTGGATAAAGAAATATGGCATATGCATACAATGGAATATTATTCAGCCTTTAAAAAGAAGGAATTCTGCCATTTGTGAAAACATGGATGAAACTTGAAGACATTATATCAAATGAAATAACCCAGACACAGAAGGACAAATGCTGCAGGATTCCACCTATATGAGGTGTATAAAATAGTGAGACTTATAGAAGTGGAGAATATAATGGCAGCTGCCAGGGGCTGGACGAGAGGGAAATGGGGAATTAGTTAATGGGTATAAAATTACAGCTATACTAGGTGAAAGAGTTCTAGAAATCTGTTGTATGACATAGTGCTTATAGTTGACTAAATTGTATTGTGAACTTAAAAGTTTAAGAAGAGAAATCTCATGTTAAGTGTTCTTACAAAAACAAAAGAAACAATAAAGAGGAACAAGGAAACTTTTAGAGGTGATGGTCTATTATTTTGATTGTAGTGATGATTCCATGGTTGTTTGTGTATACACAGACTCATTAAATTGCAAACATTAAATATGTGCAGTTTGGTATATAAATCATACCTCGATGAAGCTGTTCGTTAAAAAGAGACTTATCCTACAGCTAAGTCTTTGCAAATTGCAAGGCTACCTTCAGAAGCAAAGAAATTACTGAAACAGTCCATGCCTATATCATGCTCTAAAATGATCTCTTTAATGACTGATGTTTTTCCCAATCATTGATGACCATTTACATTTGATTATTTATGTCAATACCAAGCTAGCCCTTTGGTGTTTTCATATTTCAATGCCACTTATGTTTGTCTAAAAGAGATATATATTATCTCTCTTTTTTGTATCATACACGGCAACTGACAGACAACTGAACAGAATCTAGCAGTCCAGTTTTAACAAATGGAGTCAATGCTTATAAAACAGAGAAGTTTTCATGGACTGCTGCTGTCTTGCAAGGTTGAATCCTAGAACTCTCAAATTTTTCATCCTACAAAAGGAAATTCCAGGTAAGGTTACAAAAATAAAATTAGTTACAATGAAACCATTTTCAAATTGCTGTTTTTAAAATAGCCCCCAAAGTTTAAAAAAAGCCATGTAAGGATTGTATAAAGAATAACATGCAAGGATAAATTGAAAAATTAATTTATTATATGAGGAAATATAGCAATGTTTATTGGAGTCAATGACTACAAAGAAACAGTCAACAAAATTTCACATCCACAATACATTGACTGAGAAGTACTGGCACATAAACTCATAACCATAACATTAATGCTCTAAGGTGATTTCCAAGAAAATGCTGTTTTGACAATCAATTTTAATGTATTTTTCCACATTTACAATGTTGAAAATATTAAACCCACATTCAACTAATGCCCTGAATCAGGCATTCAAGTTGTAAATCACGATTATAAAAAATGTTGCTAAGTACTTCATGGAAAACTATACCAAAATGATAAACTCATTTGCCATCAGAAGCATTTTCTCAGATTCAGTGGCTTTTTCCCCTTCAAGTACCATGTGTTTGGGTGCCAGTTTTTGAAAGCAACTGGTGGTAAGAGAAATGGCATCTGCTGAGAAGCCAAGTGTTCACATATCCACTCAAGACATCCATGTGGATGACACTACTTATTTCTTTTCTAACAGTAAAAAAATAATAATAACCTGCTTATGGATTTGAATAAGTATAATAAAAACTCTTTAAATATGCATGGCACTTTAAAAATATTTTCAAAGCATTTTCACATTATTTACTTTGATATTTCCGACAACCTTATGAGGTAGGCTGGACAAGTATATCATCCAAATCTGGTAGGTGAGGAAACTGAGGCATGGAGCAATTAAGTCACTTGTAGGGCTGGACAGGGAGATGCCAGTCCCTATAGTGGGCTGTCTCCAGTAATGGAAAGAGAAAGTTTAAACATGTGTGATGAACTTATTTCAATATATTTTGAGAAACTACTTCAACCCTCATTCAGTCAAATGATAGAATCCAGTTGGAGCAGCTGTCCTAACAAGTTATGGCATGTAATTAATTAGACAAAGTGCTGAGAGTTTTAAAAAATGAAATTATAACTGAGAAACACATTTAAACTCCCAACGCATGAGAAAATTTGCTGGCTTGTTTTATGTTTTTTGGGGTTTTTTTGAGTTGGAGTCTCACTCTGTCACTCAGACTGGAGTGCAGTGGTTTTGGGAATCTGGTTTTGGGAATCAGGTTTTGGGAATCTGACAAACCATCACTGCTAGTTTGGATTGGGGTCACTCAAGATATTTACCCATCTTCTAAATTAAAGTGATTAAAAATGTATTTTGAAAGTTAAGATGTTTTGTAATGGTTTTACAAGGCTGAGAAATACCAATCTCTCCATCCCTGTCTAATTGTGAACATGCCTCATCAGTGCAAGTTGGTGACTGCTTCCACTCCTCACTCCCAAGGTACAACCTGAAGGCATTTCAAGTGGAAAAGAGGCATGATCATCATCAGCCACTGCAAAGCTTCAAGGCAAGAATGTTTTTCTCACAAAAGGGTTTGAAAATATCTGATGTTAATGAACACAACTAACTGATCAAATATAAAGAAACACTTGGAATGACTTAGGAATGGCCTTACTGCTCTCCTAATCATAGAATCCTTTTGTTACTTAGAAAACAGCAAAAAATGCATTAACATCTTAGGTTGATTTTACTCACAGTCACTATATATTTTCAACGGTGTTTTTGTGTATTACAACTGTGTATGCACATATATGATTACATGGAGAGTGCATGGAAGTATGTTGTAAGAAGTAACATTTTGATTATGTACTCGTTATTTATTTTAGGCCTATTAAAAATAGGGTAAGTGGTAGGGGGAAAGATAATCTTGAGTTTTATTTTTATTTCATTAAAAATAGAAAAAAAATGATCTGTTGTCTGGGCATTCCACAAAACTAAACCATAAATATTGATGAACCAAAAACATTTCAAATGAGAAAAAAATATCTCATAATACTAAAATTGAGACTCTACAGTTTAGGAGCTTATTCATGCATTTCTATGGAATTGTATAAAAACATTCAACAACATGGATGCTTTGTGAAAGAATGTATACTGTTTCCTTGACCCTGAATGTAGTAGAAATTAATTACCAAATTGCATTTTCATCTGTGTGTATGAAACTCTCTATAAATTTGACACCAAGAAGAATGGAAAAGGAAAATTATCAGAAGTGCAATGGTCAGATAAATACATCCTATAGACTAACACAGAAAAGTGGATCCCTATTTCATCTGGTAAAATAGAGTCCATAGTTTCCTTTGTAAATTTCTCAGGTGTTACTCTAATCCTCATTCTAAATTGGTGTGATCTTCATGGTCACCTGTTTCCAAGCATTTTAAGATTTGATGGCAGAAATAATGACACTGAATCCAGGCATTTTTCCAAGACAATTGAGAATATGCTACCAAATCCTCTTTTATGAAACAATTAGGGTTGTAGCTTAAAGGAAAAACTATATAGAACATAAAAGGTTATAGGAGGATAAAATTGGAAATCTTTTTCAAATTAACTCACAGTTGTGCCAAATCAAAATGTATACAATGACAAGACAAAAATCTCTTGCTATTTCATCTCTTTCTATAATTAAAAAAAATTTCTAAAGTCAACCTTTAACTAGGAATGGTGGTGAGAAAAAGCCTCTTCCCTTAAATAATGAAAATCAAAATGCCCTATATAACTGAATTGGGAGAGATTTCTGTGGTTCTGTGGGGTTTAAATAAAATTTTTTTTTAAAAGTTAACCACGGTGACTCTTATCTAAAACTTTCCTGGCAGGCAAGGAAGGAAGAGGCAGGAGTAAAGACTAAGTTTTATTCTCTTCTTTCCTAAGAAGGTGAATTCTAGCTAATTCTAATAGAAATTTCCCAGAATCTTAGAGCAGAACTGAAACTTGAAGAGGCTGAAGTTTATCTTTCAGCAGATTCACACCTTCAACCATCTTGAGATGGTAAGAATTCTACTTCTACTTACATAAGCCTCCATCATTTTGATGTTTTAACAACCCTACTGATTCAGAAATTCTTCAACATAACAAAAGATCACAAGTTTCCTAAAATTTCAGGGCTTCCATAGCCAAATTTAGAATTCATTTCATATCCACAGATGCTAAGGAATAAAGTCACCAAATCTAGGTTCCTGAATCAATTAGAGATAGCATGTCAGGGTGGCTATAGTTGGCTATGTACAAAGAGCCCTAATGAGATGAAAATGGAGCATCTGTCTATTCAAAAATCAAGCTCGAACAGCCTTCCTTGTACGTTCTGACAGGAATGATGCTGCTGGTGGCAAAACCCCAGTAATGTCCTCTGATCATTGGGACAGCTCTTGGTTTGTAAAAACTATGTTCAGGGATAATAAATCATCATGCTACCCAAACTAACAGTCAAGAAAACTAGAAAACACATAAGCCTCTCTGTTCATTCTACCTGATGAGTCTAACCAGTCAACTCAGATTTCAGGGGTACCTTGTCACTCAAAAGGCCAGTAATGCCTAGAAGACCATAGCATGGTCACCTGTGAACTGTGAAACCTTAGGCTACCTCTTCTACACTCAGAAGTTTCCATGGCTTCTCGCCATAGTTCCATATACCCAAGAGCACTATAAAGAGGAGCAGCTCTTAAGGAGTTGACAGCTAACCTCCTGTGTTATTCCCTATGCAGGGTTCATTACTTGTACAAAGAACAGGTATCAAACCTAGAAAACAATATGCCTGTGCCCCAGGAGACCTCAGGGCCCATTAAGCAGAGCAGAGCTCTTCAGCATCCAAGAACTGACTGGGCTCAGGTCTTGTTTTACTGCTAGACGGTGTCTCATCTCTACTTCTGGACGACTTTACATCTGTCTTTTCTACTGGCCCATGGGATTTATGCTGCCTGCAGGCCCAGCAGAAACACCTGAGCCACCTCTGAAAGCTTTCAGAAACACTAGAGGAAAAGAGTTTTTTGCAAGGGTGGAAGAACTGATAGAATACAAGCATGAAGAGAATGGCTGTGCAGTACCCAACGAGCAGCTGCAGAATCAACAGAGGTGCACACACATACATATAGATGTCAGTCTTGAAAAGATACCACAGGAGGAGGAGGATGGCATTCTCAATGAATCTCATCATATAATATACAAGTATCTGATACCAATTCTGGGACTTGCTGATGAGGTCAGGGCTGTCGATTTTCAGCTGTACAGCAGACCAGCAGAACATGTTGATACCGGTATAGAGTAAAGTGAGGAAGCATAGTACGATGGTGGTACCCACTCGACTGAGGGCCTTCTCTATGTTCTCAGGGAATGGGGAGCCACTGTACCAGAAGAGGATCCAGGGGTACAAGAAGAAGTTGAAGAAGTTGATGAGTATGATAATCACCACCCAGGTCTTCAGGACGGAGGTAAAGAGAACCAGGACTACAACTCGTGTGGCAATCTCAAAGCTCCTCCAGAGGAAGATACAGACATAGGCCAGAGGCTTCACGTTGACCTCGTACTCATCGTACTTGATTTTGATGGCTAGGATATTGCAGCGCAAGGCTCCATACACAATGGACAACAGGGATATGGTCATGAGGAGGCCTTTGGAGAAAAAAGAGAAAGCACTGTCAATTTCACTTCCACCAGAAATCCTATTGTGGCAGACACTCTGTCAGTCCCCAATCTGCATTCCCTGGAATCCCCTGTTTTATATACACAGGCTGTCAATATTTGCCCACTGTCCCTGGGTACATTTCCCAGAATTGCAGAAGGCTGCTCTGGTTAGGTGCGTGGAAGGCTGAAGTGCCAGGAATTAATACCCCTGGGAGAACCCTTAATATCCCAATTCCAGCCCTGATTAGGAGCTGAAATATAAGTACACTGGCTTACCATCCCTTAGGTAGTGTAAACCGGAGGTATGTGTTCTATACCATTTCCTAGTGTTTCCTCATAGGATTAACTTCTAGTCATTCACAGTGATAGCTGTCTAATAGTTGTCAACATTTATTGGCTGCCTTCCCTTCCCTGTCTTATTTCTCTTCTCCTATGCTCCTTACCCCTTTCTCCCAAAATACATGTACTCAAATTCTTTGCTAAGAGTTTGATTCAGGGTAACTCAATACACCTTCCTGGCATCATCTTCCTAGTCTATCTGAATATGTAGAGTCCTTGACATGGTGTCTTTTGTTTCCTCAATTAACTTCTAAACTTCTGAGAAATAAGACTGACCATGTCCAATATTTTCTTTTTATGCCCCCTTAACATATACCAGTAGTAGATATACAAACAGAAGGCACTCAGTAATAAGTTTCTCAGGATGTTTTTCTCTACCTTCAGGACCTTTTAAGCATATATACTGACTATAAAATGCTCCCTGCTGTTACATTCTTAAATTCTGTAGAGAGCTAAAAAAATGAGACTGAGAATCTGTCTTGGGCAGAAAGGCCTTAGCGTTTCAAGAAGTCTCAATTCTAGCTGTTTATTTCTTAAAATGACTTAAGGCTAACGAGTTATCCAGTTTATAATAGAAGCAGAAGATCGAGCAGACAAGATGTGGCTCATTTAAATGGCTCATGGTATTATGTTCCAGAGCACAACACTGGTGGCCTTGAGTTCTATTACCTATGAAATATGCTGCCAACTCATGAGCACAGACTGTGTGGTCAAAACGGAAATATAATGACAACAAGCTGCCAGTACCTCCACATATTGGCACAAGGAGGGATGAGAGGCAGGACTGTGAGTTAAGAGCTGAGAATCTGGCTCTGGTTTTATCCTGCCTCACCAGTTTCTACTGGGAAAATGGTAACCTCTCTGGATTCTGTTTTCTCACCCAGAAAACTGAGATGATAATACCTTCCATGCCTACTGTTTCTTTTTTTAACTGTCTTGAAATATGCTTCTTTATTTTGATTAACTGTATTTAGCATGGTTTTTATGTTCATAGAAGAATTGAGCAGAAAGTACAGAGATTTCCCATATACTCCCTGGCCCCACACAAGCAGTTTCCCCCATTATCCACATTCCAAACCACAGAGGTATATTTGTCACAATCGATGAACCTACATTGATATATCATTATAACTTAAAGTCCATAGTTAACACTGGGACTCACTCTTGGTGTTGTATACTCTATGAGCTTGGACAAATGTGTAATGACATGCTTCCACCACTATAGCATCAGAGTAGTTTCACTGTCCTAAAAATCCTCTGTGTTCCACCTATTCACCCTTCCCCTCCTCTCCAATCTCTGGCAACCACTGATCTTTTTACTGTCTCCATAGTTTTACCTTTTCCAGAATGTCATATAGTTGGAATCATCTAATATGTAGCCTTTCCAGATTGGCATATTTCACTTAGTAATATACATTAAGTGTCTTCCACCATATTTTCTCATGGCTTGATAGCTCATTTTTTTCTTTTTTTGAGACAGGGTATCACTCTTACTCTGTCATCCAGACTGGAGTACAGTGGCACAATCACGGCTTACTGCAGCCTTGACCTGGGCTCAAGTGATCCTCCCTCCTCCCACCTCTTCCTCTCAAGTAGCTAGGACTACAGCATGTGACACCATGCCTGGCTATTTTTTTTTTTTTTTTTGTAGAGACAAGGTTTCACTATGTTGCCCAGGCTGATCTCGATCTCCTGGGCTCAAGGAATTCTCCCACCTCAGCCTTCCAAAGTGCTAGAATTAAAAGTGTGAGCCACTGTGCCTGGCCTTGATAGCTTATTTGTTTTTAGTGCTAAATAATATTCAATTACCTGGATGTGCTACAGTTTATATATCCATTCACCTATTAAAATACATATTCATTGCTTCCAAGTTTTGACAATTATGAATAAAGATGCTATAAACATCCACGTGCAGGTTTTTGTGCGGACATGTTTTCAATTTCTTTGGGCAAGGGGTGTGATTTGCTGGATCATATGGTAAGAGGATGTTGTTTAGTATTGTAAGAAACCTCTCAGGGCTCATGCCTGTAATCCCAGCACTTTGGGAGACCACGGCGAGAAGACTGCCTGAGCCCAGAGGTTCGAGATCAGCCCGGGCAACCTGGTGAGATCTCATCTCTACAATAAATCACAAAATTAGCTGGGCATGGTGATGCATGCCTGTGGTTCCAGCCACTTGGAAGGCTGAGGCAGAGGGATCACCTGAGCCTAGCAGGTTGCGGCTGCAGTGGCCGTGAGCATGTCACTGCACTCCAGCCTGGGCGACAGAGTGAGACCCTGACTCAAAAAAAAAAAAAAAAAAAAAAAAAGAAAAGGAAAAAAGAAACCTTCCAACTGTCTTCCATAGTAGCTGCACTCATTTGCATTCCCATCAGCTATGAATGAGAGTCCCCGTTGCTTCACATCCCTGCCAGCTTTTGGTACTGCCAGCGTTCTGGATTTTGGCCAATATATTTAAGGTGTATAACATGTTTTGATATACACATATATTATGAAATGATTACTACAGTTAAGTTAACTAATATATCTATCACCATACACAGTTACATTTCTGGGGGTGAGAACACCTAAGATATACTCTGTTAGCATATTTCAAGTATACATACAGTATTATTAACTATAGTCACTATGCTGTACATTCATCCTTTGGTCAACATTTCCTCATTTACCCCACCTCATCCCTGTCCCTGGTAACCACCATTCTATTCTTTGGTTCTATGAATTAGACTTTTTAAAATTACATGTATGTGTGAGACCATATGGTATCTTTCTTTCTGAGTCTGGCTTATTTCATTTGGCATAATATCCTCCAGGTTTATCTACATTGTAGAAAACGGCAGAATTTCCTTGTTTTTTTAAGGTGCATAATGGCATCTCATTATTTTTTTAATTTGCATTTCCCTGACGACAAATAGTGTGGAGAATCTTTTCACATGCTTATTTTCCATCTGGCTATCTTTGGTGAGGTGTCAGTTAGGGTCTTTAACATATTTTGTAAACGGATTGTTTTCTTATTGTTGAGTTTTAAGATTTGTTTGTATAAAGTTAACAGTCCTTTATCAGGTATGTCTTTTGCAAATATTTTCTCTCAGCTTGTGGCTTATTTTTGCAGAGCAGGAATTTTTAATTTTAATGAATTCCAGCTTATCAATTCTTTCATGAATCAAACCTTTGGTGTTGTATTTAAAAAGTAATCACCAAACCCAAGGTCATCTAGAGTTTCTCCTATGTTATCTTCTAAGAGTATTATAGTTTTGCATTTTACATTTAGGTCTGTGATCTATTTTGAGTTAGTTTTCGTGAAAGGTGTAAGGTCTAGAGCCTTTTTTTTTTTTTTTTTAGCATGTGGATGTCTAGTTGTTCCAGTACCAATTGTTAGAAAGATTATCATTTCTAATTTCTCCATTGTATTGCCTTTGCTCCTTTGTCAAAGATCAGTTGATTATTTTTATGTGGGTCTATTTCTGGGCTCTCTATTCTGTTCCATTGATCTATTTATCTATTCTTTTGCCAATACTGCACTATCTGCATTACTGTAGCCTTACTCATGCCTGCTTCTGAAAATGTAATTCCATGTAATGCTATCCATGTAGCATAATTGTCTCTACCTAAATGTATAATTTGAAATGCATTGGAATAAATTTTCTTTTTCTTATTTAAGTTTTGAATCAATGAATAAACATTTATATTGGTGAGCATAAATTCTCTAAGGCCTTGGTATTTATTTGTCTGGAAGAAATAATCATATTCAAAGTCAAATTTCCTCATAGTCTGCTGGCATTGACTTAAACTCTCTCTGTCATTCACTGGAAAGACCAGCTTATATTAAGTAAATTTTAAAAAATAAAACCATCCTTGTCTGAGTACACTGGAAAGTAATTGGACTGAGTTACTTTTCCTGAGAGGTTACCTCAGTAGAGCATTGCAAAGCAGAACATGTTCGTGATTTACTTTTATATGTGTGGTTACAAATTTCCACACTCTAAAATTCCAGTATTGAATCTTTTTCTTTTAGTTCTTATGTTCTCTTTACTATAAGAAAAATACTTTAAATGCAGAAGATGAGCTAAGCATGAATGATTAAAATGTAAATTATCTAGTTATACATACACAGTATTTACATTGTTAGAGTTATTGTATTCTAACTCTGAAATGTTTATTGCTTTTAACAATACAATGACTCAAATAATTTTTTCAAGTATCTATCAGTTTTTCTCTTGTTAGGTCAATTATTTCCAAGTTATAACTTTTTCTCTATCAAGAGAATTAGCAATTACTTCCCAGTTGGTGCCTAGTAGTAATCAACTACAGAAGTCTTCTGAGAATGCAGAAAAATTATCTTGAAATAACTGGCTTCAATCATCGCTTTTACCATTGTGCATTCACTGCAAAAGATCACAGATATAAATGGGGCCAGCTAGAAGCCCGAACTTCACCTGCACACAGCCTACTTATGCAGCAAATCCTCACTTGTACCCTCCAACTGAAAGAATGAAAGAGGGAGGG